CCGAAGTCAGGAAACGTTACAGCATGTAAGGGTGCTCTAAAAGAACTTTGCCAAATAGTCTAGAAGCAAAAGATAGTCCCTGTAGGAAACGCCTTTGTTGGTTTTCTGATTAGTTTAAATTAGCCCAATCTGCGTAAATTACGTGATCAGTTTAACGATGGACTGCGGATTCAGTGGAAACCATGTCTGTTCTTGTGCATGCTTTTGGCAACGACTATGACTATCATACGTCTGGAAGTATGCTGATATTATATGCATGCTTGGACAACGCTCGCTTGTTCGCTTTACCAAAACCAAAGATCTTCAGTCTGCATAGCCCATAAGTCGTTAACGTTTGTTCAAAAGGTTTCCGCACTGTAAAGGAATTTGCATCCTTTTTCTGTATTTGTACTAGTGAACGCTTCTGTTCGTTCGTTCCTGTTTTCACGTTGGAATAACACTTTCATATATGCTAAAATAACTGTCAAAAATTATTTACGATTGACTGGTTAGGGATTGACCCTTTGTAGGGTTCATTAAAGGTCATGAATCGTAGGAAATTATTTTTTGCAGTACCTTTGTCTTACACGAAGTTGGCCTTCCTGTCCGCTTTTCGCTATCGGCCCATATGAATGTAACCAGACTGAATTACTATGATGCCACGTGTAGATTTGACTGTTTCGCTATATTGTTCCTCTTCATCCGGTCTTTTTGGCTGGTCCAACCTCTGAATTGAGTTATATTTACGTCTTCTTTATTTAATGGTGTAAAGAAAATATGCAATAAGACGAGAATTAAGCGCAAGAATGTTCTTTATGTTAATAAACATCTAATTGCATTTTGGCCTGTCTCGCATGCCATCTTTTGGATAGAGATATTTATTTGTTGTCAATGATAGTGTAACGAAGTTGATGCTTTGGGAGTCTCAAACGGGAAGACAACGCGTTAAAATACAGAACCTAGACTCTGAAGACAAACCGAACTTGTGCCGAAACGTGAAATGACCTTAATAAAAGAATATTTTACGCGCTGTCTTCCCGTTTTTGACTTTCCAGAGCATTATATCTTATCCCTCAATAAAGAAATCATGTGCCTTATTCAATAGTGTAACGAAGTTCTTGGATTTAGTCGTATAGCCTATTGCTATACCCATAATTTTATTAGGCAGGATCAGGTGCCATGGTCATAGGAATCTGATGATGTCGTTAGCGAGACTTGTGCATCATGCTATGTACGCCTTAGCAGAGATAGCATCTATTTTATGATTATTGAACACGCAATAGTTGTACTAACGGTTTTAGATTTTTTACTTTTATGCGTTCGTTTAAAATGCGAATTGTGAGACTAAAATCATGAAAAGGTCAAGATTTTCTTCGTTCACTTTATTCCCCAAAATGTGATACAATCTTTCCTACATGTCGTATATCGCCTGAATTATCAGAAATGATCGTGAATTGTTAAGTTCAGCCAAAGCGACTCAGGCATCGAAGGAAAAAAGGGCATGAAAAGACATCGGTGTTTGAAAAAAATGGCATCCCATGCTTCACACTTGAAACTGAAGTAGGGTTGCGTAAGGTACCAAAATTTTGTATATCTTTGAACAGAAGTCAGTTATTTACATTCATAAGATTTACATTTCTGCTGTTACGGAGCTAACGTAATCATTAAAATATGGGTTGTTTTCAATAACTCGTCTTCTTAATCGTTTGCCCATTTGCTTTCACGAGATTCTTGTGTTCGTCATTACGTCTTTGTCCACATCACTGGAGCAGTTCTTACTTTTACCTTTGTTCTGCGAATTTTCTTCCGTCACATTCGTCACATCATGAAAATTTTGTATTCTTTCTTCGCAACGCAGCAACTCTTGTGCCTTTGTGGGATGCTCTATCGATTGTTCGTACGCTCTCCTCCTTTCTTATGTAGGTACGATCTGGTTGCATTTTTTCCAGGTCGAATTAAGAAGTGTGGAATTTTGCCTCTTCAGTATCTTCCACATTCTCACCATTACTTTACTACTTGCAAATCAGCTTTTTTGCACAATTTTTTTTGTAGATTCTCATGTAGCAATATTAATTGTATTGTTACGTCATTCGCTGTTTTTGCTTGAGTTATGGCGTGCAATATTACGTTGTTTGATAATGTGTGCATTTCCCGTGTCGTAGACAGTTTCGTCCAACTGTTGATTTAATCTGTCCATTGTCATGTGACGTATCTTGGAAAATGGATATTCAAAAATGTTTTACAATTTTTGCTTAATGCTGAATAATAAGTATCCGTTTTATTTAGCAAAAACATTGGACTTTGTTTTAAGGCTGTAAAGCAGACCGGTGCCACTGCATCGGTCATTTACGTTCCAGCACCGGTGGCCTCTGATGCGATTCGAGAGGCGATTGACGCTGAAGTGCCCCTGGTTGTTTGCATAACTGAGGGTATTCCTCAACTGGACATGGTCATCGTCAAGCAGAAGCTTATGCTCCAATCGAAAACCAGACTCATTGGGCCGAATTGTCCCGGTATAATCAAGGTAGCTAGCTTACTTTTTATGCATCTAATTCGATGTTAATAGTGTTAATATTAATTAACTACAACGCTAGAGATTTTAATTGCAAAATTTTAAAAATATCTGTTCGATGCTCTTCTCCATTTCAATGCCATCGGCTAGTAGTAGTGCCTTATTTTAAAAACAGGTGGAATAAAAGCTGAGGGCAAGCATAGTGTGTAGTGCCCAGTTTCCTTCCCAGAAGATGGTGCTCATTAAACAGTCTCAGAAGAAACAAAGGCGAATGAATTTGGCTGGGGTTATTATAACCCGGGACTTCTCGGTCTCGAGTTCGATGCTGTATCTTCTGAGCGACTTCGATCACTCTACTGCGAGATCAGTCATTGCGCCACCGTCGTTGTTCAATGAAAAGCAACGTCTTCAACGATGTTGCATCTCAGAATATCGAACCACCTTCGATGTAGGTAAATGTTATAAAGTTAGATTACGCGCCTTAGTTCGTACCGTATTCATAGCTTAACATGAAAAACTTGACGGTGTGAAAATTTTACATGGGTAGCGCTTATGTCAGTAGAGTTTGGACAAAATACAAGTTACTGTGTAACTGGTTTATGCATGCATTGTGTAGTAGACTTTCTGGGGATAGTCTGTCTTGACTCTTTTCACTCTGCTGCGACCGCTTCTAGAGAGTTGATCATTCTCTATTTAAATCCGTAGCGGCTGAATTATCAAACTGTTTGCTAACGTAGTTTTTTGAACATTCTACTTTTATCCATTGTAGGTTCCCCTTCTAGTGCTCTGTTGAAATATGCCCAATGTACTCACAACTTATATTATTACATGTTTACCCGTTCATCATCCTGTTTCAGTCTACACTTCTGTGTAGAATATGATATAATCTTCTTTCTTTTAATTAGAATCCGTTTTCTCCCAGAAATCGGCCTGTTGTTTATTTATGATGTTGTACCAGCGTATTATTACTTCGAATTATTTCACCTTTTGTTCATTTGGTAAATATTAAACCATTGATTGGGATAACTACATTTTATTTAGCCCGGCGAATGCAAAATCGGGATAATGCCTGGACATATCCACCAAAAAGGTTGCATAGGTAAGGGCAACGCTTTCGGTTGCTAGAAAGATTCGCACGACTTCTGATGTTAAGGAATCGTCTCTCGTTCCGGTACACTCACGTATGAAGCGGTCCATCAGACCACCCAAGTCGGTCTGGGTCAATCCTACTGTATAGGAATTGGCGGAGACCCGTTCAATGGCACAAATTTCATCGATTGTCTCAGCGTTTACTTGGAGGATCCTCATACAAAGGGTTGTTATTAATTTTCGTTAATGATAACGATGATATTTTAAAGCGCTGGAATATTTAAGGAATTGTGCTGATCGGAGAAATTGGTGGTGGTGCTGAGGAAAAAGCTGCAGAATACCTCAAACAAAACAATAGGGTGATGATTCAGCTGGCGGTTACATTAGCGCGGGGAAATAACAGATTTATGCTTGTTCAGGGTCCAAACGCCAAGCCGGTCATTGCGTTTATTGCTGGCCTGACGGCGCCCCCCGGGAAGCGCATGGGGCACGCCGGAGCGATCATTAGCGGCGGCAAGGGAACAGCTGCGGACAAGATAGCGGCTTTGAAGAGCGCCGGAGTCACCGTCACCATGTCCCCTGCTCAAATGGGCATCACTGTTGCGAAACAGCTGTTTCATCAACAGTCGCTGATTTAGCGGCCGGTTTCGTCCGATCGTTCGTTCTGTTTCTTTCCAACAAATGTGTTCTGTGAACGGCTGTAGTGTCCAACGTACGTTCCTCGCATTTTATAGGGCTCCTTGACAGGACGTTGATTCGATGAGTGTTTAGTATTCATTTGTGCAGTTCTATCTCTTTAAGTCTATCCTGCGTGTGAACGAATTATTCATACATTGGTAAAAGTTGGATTGTTTTATTTTTTTAGCATTTCGGTTAAACTAACTAAACATTTGTTTGGGATGCTGTCTTGGGCCGCATTACAATTACATCATACATATGTACAATGATTTCACGTCGAAAGACAAGAAGCTGCACGGGCCAATTTTAATCTTAAAATA